GGGGTGGGGGGGGGGGGGGGGGGGGAATAGCTCCACCCCCATGGAATACACGACTCCTCCCCTCTCCCTTTGCTCTCCTGGTTTGGTGGGCGCCGGGAGTCGGGGCGGGGCGACGAGGCCACGCCCACTTAGGGGTCAGCGCGCGCCGCCGCAGTAGCTGGTGTGGAACTACGGGGAAGGAAGAGGCTGCTTCGGGCGCCAGCTTCCGAAGCGTCGGGACGGAGCTGGCACCTGGTTGGTTCTTGGACCTCGGCCGCGGCGGGAGGTCTCTCCACGTGCTTTCTGCTGCGACATGGAGTTGGAGGAGTCGGGCTTCAGAGAAGCATGCGGCGTGTTCGGGTGCATCGCTTCTGGAGAGTGGCCCACGCAGTTAGATGTGCCCTATGTGATAAATCTAGGACTCGTTGGGCTGCAGCACCGGTGAGCAACAGGGTGAGGGGTAGAAGTGGGGGTGAAGGGCAAGCGCTTCTACATCTCCGCCAGTCGCCTCCCGCCTGCAGTGTTAGCAGTCTCGTGAGCTTCCGGGGACCTGGAGGAGGGAGGTCTCTTATCTGGACGGGTACCTGCTTAGGGCATGGGACAGGTTGTTGAGGGGTGGGGAGACCTTGCCCCTCCCTGGTCGCCCACGCTCCCAGTCCCAGATCCCCGTTATGGGCCCCACCCACCTACCTCTCACCTCCCTCGGAATGTGTGCACCTCTCCTGAGTCTAGCCAGTTAGTTGGGCTCCAGTTTGCTTGGACTAGCCAGGTCCTGGAGGAGCGGAGTCTAATCTCCTGAGCCTTGTGCAGTTCCTGTGATAGGTTTGTGTAGGGGTGGTGGCTGGTCCCAGTCCTGCTACACCTTGAGGTTCTCGCGCACTCGGAGTCTGTTTGTCAGAGCTGTTGAGTAGATTGAAAGTAGTTACAGCTCTGCAAACTTGAGGATCCCAGCGTTAGGACCCTGGAAAGCAGAATTAATTGATGTTCAAAAGGAATTACTGTAGATCTCATATAAATTAACACAAAATAGGCCAATCACAGGGAATAGATTGATAATTAAACATTTTATTTTTTAATTGAGTTTATTGGTACATTTTAGGTATGCAGTACAGTTACATTCATTATTGGGATCTTGCACCCTTACGTGACAGGTTTTGGTTCTTATTTTTTCCCCTTGTCCCTGCCCTCCCTTCACCTCCTCCTCCCCTCCCCATTCACAAGCACTTTATTTCCATTTTTTCATTTTCTCATATTTTTTCCTTTTCCCTTATTACCTTTCCCCTACCCTTCCCACTTTCCCTACACCTTTGCCCTTTTCTTCCTATTTCACATTGTCAATTATCTCATTAGGATCTTATGTACTATTACAGTTTTTCACAGGAGAGACATTTTAAATGAGTGAAAACTTTGGTAGTAAGGTGCCAAAACTAAACGCCCTTCTTTAAAAGGGAAAGAAGGTAATACTGTGTATTATGATACACATTGATTTGGAAAAATTGGAGATCCCTTCGAGATCAAAAATAAAAACAAAAAAAAGCATTCTTGCTTCCATGATCTATTTCTTACTACTTGATCTGATTGGAAGTTGATATAAATTACTCAGTTCGTGTAAGAAGCACAAATCTAGGTTTGGCGTTATTGAAGTCTTGCAAAGTTTCAATAGGCAATTCAGTAGCAAGAACTTGCAGAACAATTAAAGAACTGGCCAGTAACAGCAGTATGAGTGTAACTTGTATAAATGTATTCCAACAGATTAGCTTTTTGTTTCAGAATCTCACATACTTCAATATGAGTTTAAAGTAACTCAGAATCTGGGATGTATCAAAAATTTTTTTCTTTTTTTGAAACAGGATCTTGCTATATAGTTCAGGCTGGCCTCAGACTCAAAATGATCCTCTGCCTCAGCCTCCCAAGTGCTGGGATTACAGGCATGTGCCACCACACCCAGCCAAGAAGTACTTTAAACGCCAATAATATTGGCTAATTGTGTGACTGTAATAGGTTACTCTTTTCAGAAATTACTGAGAGATTGTATAATCCAAGGAGAAGTTAAAATCTGAGTGGTCATGTATCTGAGCGATATTATGGTTTAGATCACCGATGGCGAACCTTTTAGAGCTTTTAATAATAGCACTTCGCAGCCCACATGTTCATAGGTTGAGTGGCACTGGTTTAGATCATTCTTAACTTAATTTTTAGTATTCTTTTCGTGGAATAGTAACGGATCTAGGGATCTTCAGAGTTACCTAGCAGGAAATATACAAACTTAACTTTTTTTAACTGTTTACATTTTAGTAAAAATTACCTAGTTCTTTTCATCCTCGTTTCTCTTCTTTAAACATATGTCTGAAGAAAGAGGGGCTTATTTATTACTTAGATGTTGACACATAATTGGAATTCTAACATTTTTTTAGAGAAATTCTTGGTATACTTTGGAATAGTGTTCCTGTTTTTTGTTGTTGTTGTTTTGTTTTGTTTTTTTTGTGGTACCAGGGATCGAACTCGGGCCCTTGTGCTTGCAAGTTAGGCATCGGAACCACTGAGCCAAATCCCCGCGCCCTAGTTTCTGTTTTTAAGTTGAATATAACTTGATTCCTAGCTATATGTACCTGCTTTCTACAATTGGTTTTCTGCAAAAGGATTATGCGATTAGATAATGCATGATGGGGTAATAAAGATAGGATTATATGTTAGTAAAGCAGTAATGAGTATAGGATTATTTTATGACGCAAATGCCTTGAAAAAATGATAAAAGATTTCCCTAGTGTAGGTGTGGTGTCATTAAGGCAAAGCAAGGTGGGACTGGTTCTTGCTTCTATTCCTACCTATTCAAAATTTTAAATGAACAAGAAGTCTTTGCCCTTTGGGAGAATTAATTTGAATTTGAAAATTAGTGAAACTCCCTTATGTCTAGAAAATATAATTGCTGCTCTAAAACCAGAGGAAAGGGCCAGAATAAGTTTCAAAAATAACTGAAGAGGGGGATGAGTATTGGAGATTGAACCAAGGCTTCACTTGTTAAGCACACATTCCACTCCTGAATGCACCAGAAAGAACTAATGTACTGTATTTACGTGGTGTTTAGGGAAAGGATGTTAAAACAGGAGTCTTGGATAGGTTGTCACAGCTTAAGCTGTGGTGGAATTAGTTACCACTGTAACTTGCTACAAACCTTGTTCTGTTGCCAAAGGTTCCAATTCTATCTTCCCATCTACTAAATGGTTAATATTAAAATAACAGCAAAAAGTTTATTTTTTTTCCCTCCATTGTTGAAGGAATGAATCTTACACATTTTATTAACACAGAATTTTTCAATGAGACTTGTCATTTTTGTATTCTTTATTTTTGTCTGAAATGAAACATTTAGTCTTGAGGGATAAGTGAATGAATACCTGAAAGTTACAGCATGTGTACTTTACATGGTGATCAGTTTCTATGCAATCAGATACCGGATATTGAATCCAGATGAGTTCATCCATAATTACTTCTTTTTAATAATTGTTCTGGCTAGTTGCAGCTTTATTCCATAGCTTTTGTTTCCACCAAAGGGGATTTTAATTGTCCCTTTGCCGTGAGTTGTCTGTGATTGTGTACACATGTGTTCCTACCAGATTGATGTAATCACCAATTGCTTTTTTGGTCCTGAAAATATCAGTTTAGTAGTTTGCAAACCAGACACTCCCATGTAAATCAGACAGTTTCACATTTAAACCAGAGTTGTAGTTTATGGAGAATACAATGGTCTGGACATACAGTATTTGAAAATTCTATTAAAAGACTTAAAGAGGGCTGGGGATTTAGCTAAGTGGTTCTGCTGCTTGCCTTGCAAGCAAGGACCTGAGTTTGATGCCTGGCATAAAAAAAAAAAAAAAAAGACTTAAAGAAATTTCAGACTTTACCCATGAGTCAGTTGGTTAACACCCCCCGCCATCATGGATTGGTTGTGTTTTATCTTTTGGAAACATGACCTCACTGAGGTATTACTGAGGTGGTGGAATAAGGTGGGGCCTAGATGAAGGCAGTTAGGTAACTGGGAATTCTGGGCTTCCCAGTTGTGGACTTTAGGCCTCCTGGACCGTGAGCTAAGTAAACCTTCCTTTATAAAGTACTTCACCTCAGATATTTTGTTACAGCAGCATGGAATAGACTGATAATGTCAAACTTTGTTACTCTGAGATGAGCATGCCCTTCCTTCCCTGACTTGCCTCTTCCCTAGGTTAAGAATTAAATTTAACAACTAATGAACATTTTCATACCTCTTTCCAAAACTTATGAAATTTACCTGAAGTTGACTGTCCTGTCTAAAGAAACATGCACTAGAATCTTTTGGTTCTGTTATCCTTTGAGGAAACTGGTGTGTAACAATCTGAGGAATAGCTTTCTTAAGAGACAGACACTGATTCTGCAGAGTATATATTATCAGTAGGAAGGCACTTAGGAGAAAGAAAGGTGCTCAGACAAAGCTCTGTGGAATTAGTTCCCAGTTATCTTCATTTAGTGTTCTGGAGAACACAGGAGGTTGTAGAAAACTATGTTAGATACTTTATTTTGACTTTTATCTTTTAATGAAATGGATCAAATATATTAAAATTCCTATAGGGTTTTACCTGTATACCCATGTAGTTTGTCTCCTATATCTAAATTGTGATTTTTTTATTTGAGCAAGCAGCTTATTTTAAAACTGTCCAAGCTGACTTATTTTAAAACTGTCCTAGCCTGGGGTCGTGGCATATTCCTATAATCTCAGCATGCTGGAGGCTGAGGCTGCAAGATCACCAGTTAAATTCAAGACCACCCTGAAATGTGTAGAAGGACCCTGTCTCTGAAAAACAAAACAAAAACCTGTCCTTGCTAATCATAGATAGAACTGGTATGGTAGAGACTAACTGCTCCTATGTTAGTATGTAAGGAGTACACTCTGAAATTAAAAAGTATAGTACATACATTAACCAACAGCATAACTTTATAGTCACTATTAAGTATTTCATACTGTACATAATTATGGATACTATACTCTCTTGCAAGTGGCAGTGAAGGTTTATTTATACTAGTGTCCCCATGAACGTGTGAGTACTGCTTTGCCCTGTGACAACATGATGACTACGGTGTCATTAGGTAAGTTTTTCACTTCCATTATGACCTTATGGGACCAGTGTGGTACATGTCACATGTCATTGGCAAAAATGTCCTTATGCAGCACCTGACTGTACTCAAAATATGTTTGTTGTGCTCCTGTGTACGTAAGAAGCATTGTAGTCGACACTGGGAGTTATGAATGAATTACACAGAGCAGATGGGATTCTTGCCTGCACCTCTAGAGCGGCACTGTAGACCATTAGCTCAAGAGCACAGGCTTCCTGAGCCTTAGTTTCCTCGTCTGTGAATCACGTATAAATGGTGATCCCTACATCTCAGGATTGTAGTAAGAACTAAATTTATTA